GATGAGTTCATGGATGTGAGAGGCACAATGCTGAGTCCTCACACTGTAGGTCAGTCGCTGCAGCACATTAAGGCACTGTGGAGAGCATTGGAGACATTATTCACATGACCACATAAAGTAATATCCAAAGTAATCTTTATTTTCTAATCCATCCATTTTGGATAACTTTAACTAAACGTAGTGAAATAAAACCACCTTGAAAAATATCTGTGACATTTAAATTCTGTGTGAACCGGAAGTTGCTACTGACTTGACATTAGTATAGTGATGTATTTCCAACTAAAACTAAATATTTAATAGTGGGCAGAATTTTATTTTAGCGCACCTCCCTGACATTGCTCGTTCACAGCAAACTAACAGTTGGAGGGAGTTGTTAAGGATAAAAGCCGTCAAACTGACGAAGCAAATTTTCTGATTTTGATTAAAGATTACCAAATCCATTTCATTAACTTGCACGGATTAACTGTTTGCCTCAAGACTAGCAACATGCGCTAACAAAGTAAATAGAGTACATTTTGATTTCATGCGGACTTTAATAAAGTGATTCATATACTACCATTCAAAAGTTTGGGGTCAGAAAAAAAGTTTTATATACATTTTACAAGAAATTACTAATTTTATTCAGCAAGGACTTATTAAACGGATCAAAAAGGGACAGTAATGGCATTTACATTGTTACAAAAGATTTCTATTTTAAATAAATGCTATTCTTACTTTCTATTCACGGTTTCTGCAAAGATAATAAGCAGCACTATTGTTTTCAAAGCCAATAAAAGATTAACTTCTTAAGCACCAAATCAGAATATTAGAATGATTTCTGAAGGGTCATGTGATGTGAGAGTGAAGACTGGAGTAATGATGCTAAAAATTCAGCTTTGCCATTACAGGAATAAATTACATTTTAAAATATATTTTTGACCAGTTATAAAAATATGCACTTAAGAAAAAAGCATGTTTTGTGAAGTGTAGTCTTCATCTTAAAAAACTGCAGTACTCTCACCTGCAGCACAAGAGGCTCTTCTGGTGTGCTTCTGTTGCAGTGGATTATGGATGCCAGAGTGCCGGTGAAGTTGTAGCTGCTGTGAAGAGCCTCTTTAGCCTCACCATCAGAAGCTGCTGGGCCATTAAGAAATGTACATGCATGGGTAAATAACGGGTGATATAACTATAAACTGACTGTGGAACTACATTAAAGGGTTTAGTACCGAACTGTGCCAGCAGGGATATAATGGATCCCGTCAGTGCGTGACTGGTGTTGGGATCTCCAGCTACTTCCATGAGTCCACTCAGACACTCGCTGGGCAGCACCTGACCTGAAAACAGCACTCTGCCACATTTCAGCCCTGAAACATCCTGTGGAATTAAAAATAGCAATTAAAATGTTGGATATTTTATATTAAAGGAAATGACGTGTAAAATGACACATTCTTTGTCACTTTTGGCCACACTGGGTTTGACTGTTTAATGACCCAGTTTCTGTCTTTTCCAGTCATCTGTTATAACAGAAAAGAGATTGCATCATTCACAATTTATAGAAAAGCATATATATATATATAAGCAAATTAATAAACAAATAATAGGCCTAAAGTAATAAATAAAACAGTATAGTACTATAGTGTGCTGGAAAAAAATAATGTAACAATAGAAACTACATTAACAATAACAATAGAAAATACCAATAGAAAATATTTTCCTAATATTTTTAACCATATTTATAATATTAATTTGGGGTCTTTATACATAAAATAATATATAGCTGCTTTTTAATTTTAGTATGAAGGTCCTTCAGTCCTTTGGGGGTTTGTGGCATCCAAAAGATTAAAAAAAAATTTTGTAGAATATAACTAGAAAAATTATGTTGAATATTTAAGAAATACCTTTTTTTTTCTTCCTAAACATTAAAGGAGATGAATGACAGCCTCAGTCACCATTCACTTTCATTGTATGTAACGTTAAACGAAGAAATGAAGGGGTTGTTGACTGTCATTCCCTAACAGTGTTGGGGGTAACTCATTACAAGTAACGCGAGTTACGTAATCAGATTACTTTTTTCAAGTAACTAGAAAAGTAACGCATTACTTTTTAATTTTCAAGAGAATATCTGAGTTACTTTTTCAAATAAGTAAAGCAAGTTACTTTTTTTTTTCAATTTATTGATTGACAGCTCTCCTGTCCCCATGTTGAGAGAAATCAGATGTTACTGTAGTTCTAAAATAAATATGAATATGCATTAATTCATCTCACTCACAAAAAAAAACACAGATTCAGTATTCCTCAAAATGAATAAAAATTATGCAACTCAGAATATGACGCGAATATGCGTTATGTATTTAATCCCATTCTATTAACCAATGTCTTCGCTTCTGCCCTTCGTTGATCCAGTTCAACCATACTAATAAGCAAAAATCATTCTAGACAAACATTTGTGTGTATTTTTTTATTGTCTTTTTTAAGTGTGTTGAAATTTCTTCTTCTGCATTCTACTGTACGGACGTAAATTTACATTTCCTTCAGCCTGAGGCTTATTCATTTCACTTTTGGTGTGAAAAGGCTTTTATATTTGTCAAAAACAGAACTTTTTTATTTTAAAAACAAACAAGCAAGCCCTGCCCAGATTTAAAAAGTAACGCAAAAGTAACGTAACGCATTACTTCCCATAAAACGTAACTAAGTAACGTAATTCGTTCCTTTTTTATGGAGTAACGCAATATTGTAATGCATTACTTTTAAAAGTAACTTTCCCCAACACTGTTCCCTAACATCTCTTTTTGTGTTTCACATAAGAATTCAAAGACTTTTTGGACTTTGGAACAACTTGAAGGTGACTAAATGATTGGATAGATCACACAAATAAAACTGAGTGTTTTCAATAACCCCACAGATAAATGTTTTCACTCACTTCAATGTGTTTCTGCAGCTGTGATGCATTTAATGCGCTTCTGTTATTTCTGTACTGACGAATGGCCAACAGTAGAGACTTCAAACTGGTCGATGCATCCATCTTTACACCCAAGGACGGTCAATGGCTGGCTTGAACTAAAAATATTAACTGATATGATGAAACTATCTAAACAGTTTCGTGGTAGGTTTTGTAAACATTCAGTAGGCTATGCTAGTTGATAATAGACGCCGTTACTGAGATTAAATAACAGATATATCGTATTCTCTCCCGTACAATGTTTTCATCAAGCATGGAGGTGACTTCTGTTTTAACAATGATATTTACTAGTATGTTATTTTACGTAGTATTTACTCAAAAGCTTATATTAAATTCTCCACTGTCCGCTACAACAGCAACTTCCTCCCGCTAACATTTCGAATCGCCGGAAGAGTTCATTATCCAAAAGGGGAGGGGGATAATGGAAACATTTAGGAATATATCTAATTATTTAAGTTTAAAATATAGGACAAAACATTTTTACGATTCTCCACAACTCTTAATTATTGAATCAGTGGATTTTTTGTTTGTTTTATGTTAATCTCTCTTCTTTTAATGTTCTTAAGAAAAGCTTTAACCCCCTTTCTGTGAAGAATGGTTGAGAGCCAGAATTCGACGACGCCCTGACGTAAGTACGTCATAGTTGGGGTATGTGTACTCTTTTCAATTAAAGAGATTTCTTTTAATCTTACTCATCAATACTATCCAGTTAAAACCGTTATTGTGTCAAAATTTAAATTAAGCATAAATGTGAACTGTACCTTCTGTGATTCACAACCAGAAACTGGCTTGCATTTTTGGCGTTGTGTTCATACAAGAAAACTCTGGCAAGACATTTGCCAGTTCATTGTAAACTTCATACACAATAACTGATTTTTTTAATGTAATTGATTTATTAAAGATGCCAACCAAACTTAAAATCAGATAGTAACATCAAGCTACATCACTTGCTGTCTTTGACCACACAGAACAGTGTAACGGAAACCGTTTGACTGTCCAATGTGGGCCAATCTATTTTAAGTTGTGGTAAAGAAAATGGTACATACATGTATATATATATATTTACATGTTAAAACCTTAAGACAGTCCATTCATATGGCATACATTATTATAGACTCTGTTCGAGACAAAATTAGATTATATTTATAAACTGTACATACAATATACAGATAGGCCTACACATTTTCTAACAAAAAAAAAAAACATATACAATAAAAATCTCTTCTTGTCCTTGAGTTATGAGCAGGTCATCAAGCACAAAATACAAACCTAATATTTCTCTCCCATCCAGATTAGTATTACAATTCCAACCAACACTTTATTGGCCAATGACAAACAATGACTTTAAAAGTCTGAGGCCACATTAAAAATCTAAAACCAAGTTTTAGAATTTCTAGAATGTTGTAAAATAAATAAACAATATTTAATATTTTGCACTATTTTTAGGACACTAAATCAAACATGTGACATTGACCATGTGAACTCCTCTGTACATTAAATCATTTGTCATTAAAGCAATCCCAAATACCAAGACAATCTGAAAACCATGTTAATTTTTCAAATTAACTTTTCACTCAAATGATTATGAGGATACCATAATTTGTAACAAATGACACCAAAATCCTATGAAAGCCTATTTCTGCCACAGAATAAAAAAATAAAAAAGGTAATTGCGACTTTGTCACAGTTTTGACAGTTTTGACATTTTTCCTTGCATTTCTTATCTCACAATTCTGACCTTTTTGTCACAATTCTCATTTCTTCAGAACTGCATGATATAAACTCAGAATTGTGAGGTATAGACTCTGAGAACTATGAGATATAAACCTGGAATTCTGAGTTTATATCTTGCAATTCTGACTTTTTTTCCTCAGAATTGTGAGAAACAACATCCGAATTGTGAGATGAAAAGTTGTAATTACCTCTTTATTCCAAAGCAGAAACAGGCTTTCATAAAATTCACACCATTCCAGCATTAAAAGGTACATCCCCAATTTATGCATTTTCCATGCACAAAAACATACCCATGCTAAAATGTGATTCAAGTGATAAGATTCCACGTGCATTTCCCATATTTGAGGTGAAAATGGCCAGAAAGTTCTCGGAAACTGTAATAGCACATCTATATCGTCCATATTAGCTGATCCAGTCAGAACGTCACATTGTGACTAAATCAGTCCGGCAGAACAACAACATAGTCCCCTGAGCAGTCAACATCTGAGAGAGACAAAAACAAGTGTTCACAATTAATTTGGGTAAATGAAATATTTCGATTCTCTGTCAAAGAGAAAAAAATCAGCAAGGCTGATTCCTGCTAATTGTAATTGTCTAATAATGTTTCATTGTAATGACATTGGTAATGTCTCATAATTGCTAATGTCTAATATTGTAACAGTCGACACTCACTTTCATAGTCATTTTCCTCGTTAGGCACTAGTGGTTCTGCACATTGCAATGGCTGATCTTGCAGCGTTTTTCTTTTCGGCGAACGGCGTAAGTGTGTTGCAAGTCCTTGATTCTTTTGCTTGTAATTATGAATAAGATCCTTCAACGTCTTGAAAAACTTCTCCTCTACACCTGAGCTAGCCTGAAACAAATTGTGTTGTGATATTAGAATGAATTTTTGATTCATTTATATTTATATATTTATTCATAATCATATTTGTTGGCAAACCAGTGCAAATCAATTAGATTATCCTACCTGTAGAGTGAAGTATCCAGTGTGGGTTTGGAGGATCCTGTAAGTATAGACCACTTTTTGTTTGCTGTAAAAATGCATAAATAAGTAAATCATTAATTAAGTGAACATAGTTCATTTACATTAAATCATAAACTTAAAAACTTTGATAGTCAGGGTTTCTGTGGCCTTCAGGAAATGTTGTGCTATGTTTGGACTTTCAGTACTCTCTTCATTAAGGTGTTTTTTTAATTAGGTGCTATGCAAGGCCAAATGAGACTCACTTGTTTTAGTATTGATTTTTGGAGATTTTCAAAGTTTAGCCTTTTAGTATTTATTGTTTGTTTTCGTCTATCTACAGTGCATTCTGCACACAGACAGTTAAGATGCTGCCAACAAGAAATATCAACAAGTAAAGCTACTTTACCATCATTTATAATAACAGTAATACATATAAATGATATCCGAGCTTCATTATTTACAGCAACATTTATTTACAATTCAAAGACTTCTAGAGAAATTATATTTCAGTCTTAGCATATATTGTCTAAAAACATTCAGAACACACTGAAATTAGAAACTGTAACACTTGGATCCCTGATGTGCAACTGATATACAATTGCACAGGATTCTTTTCCTAGAATGTAACGCAGGGCTTTTCATAAGAGACATTTGAAGTGCTTCACTGAACATGTGCAATTCAGAACATCAGGCAATGAACAAAATGCAATGGCCAAAAATGTCTATATGACTCAATGTAGCCTACCTAAGCAATTAAAAGATGCAAGCAAAATGCAAGAACAGTACACATTCTTTGCGAATGGCCAGGGACGAATTTAGTTATTCTGCATCTCCTGATTATACAGTATACTGCTCTGGGCACTTTACCTTTTTTTATACAGAAAATATAGAAATTGTTGAGGCCCCTGTCACACGGTCGTGGTCGTAGAAAAGGCGCACGAAGGAGCAGAAGTAGAGGAGTCTTTAATAAACATCAACACACTTTGATGTTTATTGAAAATAAACCAGACCGTTGAAAATAACATTAATCCAGCACAAAGAACAGACAGAAACTGAGGGCTTATAAGGACAGGCAAACTAAGGAGCAAACGAGATGAATAATACAACACAGGTGATCTGAATAAACGATGATTAACTAAATGAGAACAGGAACTGAACCAAATAAGGGCAGACAGGAACTAAACAGAAACAAACACATGCCAGCCCCTTGAATTGCTTCTAATTTTAACATTACTAGAATGGCCCCTAAATGTGCAGTAGCCACTGTAGTTTCCAATTTATAGTCTAAATTTGAGCAGTATATGTTTCACTGCATAGTCAATAATATTTTCACATTTTGTCTCTACTGTGTGCACTTATGTACCAGATCTAGATTACTAGACAAAATGACTAGCAACATGGGCACTATCTTCTCTAATACATTAGAAGCTGTTGCCCCCATCAAATTG